CGCCGATCATGGATTCAAAGTCAACATCAGCAAAACCAAAGTAATGAACACTGGTGAACCCATCCAATCCACAGCTACTGGACGATGGCCCTGTTCAGTTTGTAAAGCTGGTGTAAGTAACAATTCAATCAAGTGTCAGCAGTGTAACCAGTGGTGTCACAAACGTTGTTTAAAAATAATTGGTACTTTATCTAAAGTGTCCAATTTTGTTTGTCCTGCTTGCATCAATCCTCAACAACAAATTCGAAATAGCACTGTTTTTGAGGCCATTAAAATAGAGAAAGTCACATCGTTTCAATATCTAGGGGATGTTCTGGATTGTACTGGAACAGCTGAAGCTGCCGTTCGAGCAAGCATACGTGCAGCCTGGAATAAATGGCATCTCCTTGCCTCTATATTGATGCGGCGTGACATCCCACTAACACTACGATCAAGACTTTATAAATCTGTGATACGTCCGGTGTTGTTATATGGTGCAGAAACATAGCCAATGACAACCAAACTGGAACAACAACTTCAACGAACCAACATGAAAATGCTCCGATGGATGCAACGAATTAGTCTGAAGGACCACACTAAATCTACCGAAATTCTTCGTCGTGCTGGTTTAGATGATATATAGAACGAATGCCGGCAACACCGTCTGCGGTGGTTTGGTCATGTCAAACGAAGTGGAAACAGTGCCATAACTTCTCTTGCAGATGTTAAAGTACCTGGCACACGTCCCAAAGGCCGTCCAAAGAAGTCCTGGTCGCAAACAATCGAGCAAGACATGAAAGCTCTAAATTTAAACGAAATAGATACAACTGATCGTCTAATTTGGCGCAAAAAGTTGATGGCGAAGAAAAAAACGTTCTACCTCGGGAAACCGGGTCTCTTGACGCAAAACGAAGATTGATAGATTGATTGATTGATATATATATATATATATATATATATATATATATATTCATGATAATGAGCCCAAATGAACGCTGCTAACATTGCAGCTATTTTATAAATCCACTTAAAGTTATCTGGTGACTGCAATTTTTTAATGCTTTAAATTTGAATAAATGTTTAATTTTCTTGCTCTATGGCATATTTACTTCATGTACTTAGAATATGCCTTATACTGACTCTCGAACGCACCCGAGCACATTTAGAGTCTGGTTCCATACTTAGTTTTCATGAAATTTATCAAATTTTATTATTTTTACATTTTTATAGTTTATTAATAAATATTTATTCATTTTTTAAAAATCTTATTTATTTAGATTATTTTTTTTAATTGTTTTATTGCATGTATTCCTATAATATTTTAGCAATATATTTTTTTTCTGGCCTAAGGTAGCCTGTCTTCCATCCTACATCAAAAATTTTTAAATTTACTTTGTTTAATTATTTCGGCTTTCTACAGAAGAACTAAATTGGTATAAATTTGTAAACAATTGTGGAATTCTATACCATTCTGTTTCGCGATTCGACTGATTGATCTGCTACGTCTGTTTACTGAACGTCCGTAACACCAGTTTCATGAAACTGATTTTCAAATTTCACGATCAACGACATATAAATATAGAGTGCCGAAAGACTTTTGAGTTAAAATGGAGAAATTTAAGAAGTTAAAGAAATCATTAATGCACGATGCACATGAAAATTTAAAAACACGTGTTTTAACTTAAAAAAACAATTTTGATTTTATTTGATCGAATAAATTTTAGCGAACGAATTTCGTTAAAGAAATTTTGTCTGTGTTTTTAAATCATTTAAAAAATATTCTGACAATAAATATTTTGTTATTTTACACCAATCGACACAATATTGTATGCTTAAAAAATTATTACATATGATTATTCATCGCAAAATTATAGTTAACACGCTGTATCAAAATATATTTACTAAATGACATTTTTACAACAAGTGTTAAAACCGTGTGTCGGTTTTAATTTAATTACAAAATATTCTGACAGTAAATATTTTATTATTTTACACCAATTGACACAATATTGTATGCTTAAAAAATTACCAAAAATAATTATTCATCACAAAATTAAAGTTTACACGCTGTATCAAAATATGTTTACTAAATGACATTTTTACAGTGGGTCGGTTTTAATTTATTTAAAAAATATTCTGACAGTAAATATGTTATTATTATACACCAAATGACACAATATTTTATGCTTAAAAGACTATCAAATATATTATTCATCGCAAAATTATAGTTAACACACTGTATCAAAATATATATAATAAATGACATTTTTACAACAGGTATTAAAATTGTGTCTCGGTTTTAATTTATTTAAAAAATATTCTGACAGTAAATTTTTCATTATTTTACACCAATCGACGCAATACTGTATGGTTAAAAGATTATCGAATACAATTATTCATCGCAAAATTATAGTTAACACACTGTATCAAAATATATTTACTAAATGACAATTTTACAGTAGTTGTTAAAACCGTGTCTACTATTTGACCACCAACTTTACCTACCATCTGACCATCAACAATATCTAACCCTTGAACACCGATTACACCTACCACCTGACTACCAACTTTATCTACCACCTGACCACCGATTTTAATGACCAAAATTTATGTCGTTCTATTTATTATAATGCGAAAATTTAAAAATAAGTTGCGAAGGAAGAAGAAAGTTTACCGGATTCAATTTCTTCTGGTGGAGTTTCCTTTAACAGCGACCTATAAATAGCTTTAGGAGTTTTATTGGTGTTCGTAAGATCTCTTATCTTTTTTTTAGTGTCACTGTTAATGTGACCACTGTGCAGTCCATTAGACGAATGATATGTTTCTCCATTGACAGTTACATTTATGATCACGTCTTTGTCAGGTTGCGGAATTTTTTTATTTTGAAAAAAACTGTGCAAAATTTTGAAAAGCTGCACCTCGCTTTCCCATTCCAATAATCATTTTTTTACTAGTAGATTTTGATATGTAATTATAACAATAACTCAATATACAACAAAGTATTACTTTATTAAATTCTAATGCAATCAAATCGGTCCATCCTTTTGACAACCCTCTTGACTTTTCATTAACGGGTGCCACGCAACTGAAATCTTGAAAAAAAAGAACTATTTGAAATTTTTTAAATACTTCATTTACCTGACCACCTACCACTTGACCACCAGTTTTGTCTACCACCTGACAACCGATTTTACCTACTACTTGACCACCAACTTTACTTACCATCAGACTATCGACAATATCTACCATTTGACCCCCAACTTCATTTACCTCTTGAACACCGGCTTCACCTACTATATGACTACCAACTTCATCTACCACCTGATTACCGACTTGACCACCAACGTTACCTACCATCTGACAATCAACAATATCTACCACTTGACCATCAATTTCACCTGCCACTTGAACACCGGCTTCACCTATTATCTGACTACCAACTTCACCTACCACTTGACTACCAACTTCATCTACCACCAGACTACCAACTTCATTTACTACACGACTACTAACTTCATCTACCACTTGACCACCAACTTCACCAACCACTTAAACACTGACTTCATCTAACACTTAACCACCAGCTTCACCTACCACCTGACTAACAACATCATCTACCACCTGACCACCGACTTTATCTACTTCTTGGCCACCAACTTTATCCACACCTTGACCACCAATTTTATCTACCACTTGACCACCAACTTCACCTACTTCTTGATCCCCAACTTCATCTACCTTTTGACCATCAACTTCTCCCTCACTATCAGCAATCGTTTTAATTTTAGAGTAAATGTATTTCAATTTTTTTATTACTTTATGGCTACGACCGACGCCAAGCGTGATACCAACTTTCACGAACATTTCGCTTTGACTATAGGTACATTTCGAATTTTGAGAACACTTCTTTCATTTCTTCGATGGTAAAAACAACCTTTCTATCTATTCTAATTAATGGTTGATGGAAAAGTTTGTAATTTTCATTCCAATTGTTAATAACTTGAAATTTTGAATATTTGAAATTAAACAGTTAATAAATAGAAAATATTTCTTAAAAACAGCTAAACAGTTGTTGAGTATTTTTTAAACGCAACAAATATTTTTTGTCTTCCAGGTTTTTTACAAACAGCTTGATATGGGAGCATAGAGTACGTTGATATAACAGTGAGCTTCAAGAAATTACTATTAAATCTACTACTTCTAAAGCAACTACTACTACCACCACAATTACAACTACCACTACTAATACAACGACTACTACGTACTATCACTACAATTAGTACTACTTCTTATCTTCTTATATAGCCGCTAAAACTACTATCAATGCTACTACTACGACTACTACTACGACTACTACTAATACTACTACTTGAAAAAATAAAATACACATATATGCACAAATTGTTTTAGTCTTGTGTTAATTAGCGCCCTGACAGCAAATAACCATTAAAATTTATCTCATAGCAGACTAATCAATTTGTGATTTCAACAAAAAACACGTCCACTACAACTACTACTACTACTACTACACCACATCTACTACCACTATTATCTTGTAAAATAACAAAATAAATACTGTCAGAATATTTTTTAAATAAATTAAAACCGAACCACGTAAATATATTTTGATACATCGTGTTAACTATAATTTTGCGATGAATAAATATATTTAATAATTTTATAAGCATACAATATCGTGTCGATTGGTTTAAAATAATAAAATATTTACTGTCAGAATATTTTTTAAATAAATTAAAACCGAGACATGGTTTTAACAACTGTTGTAAAATTGTCATTTAGTAAATATATTTTGATACAGCGTGTTAACTATAATTTTGCGATGAATAAATATATGTAATAATTTTTTAAGCATACAATATTGTGTCGATTGGTGTAAAATAACAAAATATTTACTGTCAAAATATTTTTTAAATGATTTAAAAACACAAACAGAATTTCTTAAACGAAATTCGTTCGCTAACATTTATTCGATCAAATAAAATTGTAATTTTTTTTTAAGTTAAAACACGTGTTTTTAAATTTGCGTGTGCGTCATGCATTAATGATTTCTTTAACTTCTTAAATTTCTCCATTTCAACTCAAAAGTCTTTCGGCACTCCATATTTATATGTCGTTGATCGTGAAATTTGAAAATCAGTTTCATGAAACTGGTGTTACGGACGTGTTTACTGAGCCGGTGGACATCATACCGTGGAAGTTTTTTCTTTTACATGTGAGTTCCAATTTTTATTAAATTAAAAATTAATTTTGAAATTTTATTTTATTTAGTTATGTAATTTGGCAAAAGTATACTTTTCTGTTGACTTTTCACTTCCTTGGGTAAAACGTGGGATAGGTACTCCTATGGTATCGTCCATGTTTACAAACAATCATAATGTACTTTTGATAAATTAACTCCGCCCATTTTGAATTATCTAGCGCTTGATTATTTATTTATATCAAATTGAAAATAATTTAATACAAGTTAATTCTTAGGTAAGTAATTTTTAATACAAGTTTTTTAGATCATTACTTGTCAAAAAGTTGAAATAGTGAACATTAAATAAAAAAAAGTTAAAATTGCCTGGATATAGTTACCTGGTTTCAAATTTCTGCAAAGCAAGTTATCGAGGTATTATGTTATATTACAAAATCAATTTGCAGCTGTTTAGTGTTCAACTGGATTCCATATTTGATGAATATTTGTGTGCCAGGATTAACGTCAGAGATCTAAATTTAATGGTAATTTACAGAAGTCCTAATTCAAGTAATGATAATAATGACAATCTCATTGGTGTCTTGAATGAGTTTGGTGATTTGTCTGGTAGACATCTTGTTTTGGGTTATTTTAATTTTCCAGATATAGATTGGAAGCTGAGAGTTTGTGCAGGTTCTGACTACAAGATTGAAAATAGATTTTTGCAGCTTATTGATGATAGGTTTTGGCTGCAGCATGTCAACAAACCAACAAGATATGGAACTAACAGTTGTCCTCATGTATTGGATTTAATTATCACGTCTGAAGATTGCGTATCAGATTTGCAGTATTCATCTCCTCTGGGCAGAAGTGACCACTTATTGATTTCATTTAAAATTTTTGATTGTTCAATTTTGCACAGTAAACCTAGGAAGAAGTTGTGTTTTAATCTTGGACAGTACGATGCAATTAACAAATATCTTTCTAGCATGTTATCTGTTGATACAACTGTGGATGTAGACCAAAAGAGCAACGTAGAAAATTTATGGCAAAAATTTTGTTTTTTGATTAGTGAGGCTACTTCAAAATATGTTCCTATGAAAATATGTGGTAGCTGTGTTGTTAAGCATGTCAACTTTAAACTGAGGCGACTTATCAAGCTTAAACACTACTATTGGAAAAGAATCTATAAATACGGAGACGTTGACTTATTGCAAAGTTTCAGGTCTACGAGAGATAAAGTTCGAGCAGAATGTAAACAGCTGGACAGAGATAACCAGAATTTTATTGCCAGAAACTATCATAACAACCCAAAACTGTTCTGGAAACAGGTGAAGAAGAAAATAACAACAGTGGGCAGGGTTGAAACACTCAGAGTACAGAACACAGATCTCACGGGTGACGATGAAAAAGCCCAAGCTTTGGCAAGGTTCTTTTCATCGGTTTATAAACTTGACAATGAGGTTAATTATAATGACTCATTATATCCATTGGTTCCGGCTGCCGGAAACAAATCTGCAGGGCCTGATAATATTCATCCACGGATATTGTTGGAAAGTAAAACAGTTGTTGTTTCTGCAGTTAGGCAAATTTTTCAATGTTCACTAGATACCGGTATGATTCCAGCAGATTGGAAGGCTAGCATAGTAATACCAATACACAAAAAAGGAAGTAAAAGTTTGGTTAGTAACTACAGGCCTACTTCTCTTACTTCTGTGTGTTGTAAAATGATGGAATCAATTATTAAGGACCATGTTTTGAATTATTTTTTGACAAATAATTTATTTCACCGAAATCAATATGGGTTTTTGCCCGGACAATCGACGACTCTTCAGTTGCTGACATTTTTGGATAAAGTTACAATGGGTGTTGATTGTGATGAGGAGGTACACGTCATATACACTGATCTCGAGAAGGCTTTTGATAGGATATCTCACAATTGTTTGTTACTGAAACTAAAGAAATATGGATTCAATAACAAAATTCTTGTTTGGATAAGTGAATATAAGTTACAATGGGTGTTGATTGTGATGAGGAGGTACACGTCATATACACTGATCTCGAGAAGGCTTTTGATAGGATATCTCACAATTGTTTGTTACTGAAACTAAAGAAATATGGATTCGATAACAAAATTCTTGTTTGGATAAGTGAATATCTTAAGAAGAGAAACTTCAGGGTGCGAGTGGGTGATGCATTGTCTTCAAAGTTTGATGCTACTAGTGGAGTTCCCCAAGGTAGTATCCTGGGACCTCTACTGTTTACAATTTATATTAATGATCTCCCTTCAGCATGTGAGAATATATATCTTTTTGCGGATGATGCAAAGATGTTTAAAATTATCAAATGTCCAGATGACTTGAAGTCCATGCAACTAAATGTGATCAATATGCAAAATTGGCTAAATGTCTGGCGTATGATTCCAAATGTAGATAAATGTTGCGTATTGAAGTTCGGAAATAAATATAATAATATTTATGAAATGTGGGATTCTGCCCAGGTCAAACAAGTGATCCAAGTAGTCAAAGTAATAAAAGACTTAGGTGTGTTTGTTGATGATAAACTCACTTTTAGGGATCATATATATAGTAAAGTTAAGTTAGCCAACACTATGTTGGGCATCATAAACAGGCATTTTAGACTTATTGATAAAGAAGCTTACCTATGTTTCTACAAAGGCTTGGTCATACCACATCTAGAGTATGCGGTACAGGTTTGGTGCCCACATCACATAAACCTAATACAAATGATTGAAAAAGTTCAAAGAAGAGCTACTAGATCTATCCGTTCTTGTTATGGTTTAGAGTATATTGATAGATTAAAAAAATTGAACTTGCATTCTTTGAAATATCGAAGAACTAGAGCGGACCTGATTTTTTTATATAAAATGTTGGTGGCCAATCCAGATACTGATCATTCGTTCATGTTGCTCAATAATGATGGGAGAACTAGAGGGCATCATATGAAGTTGTCAACAGGTTTATCTCACAAGGATGTTAGAAAATATTTTTTTTGTAACAGAGTAGTCGCGGACTGGAATAGACTCCCGCAATCTGTTGTTGACTCTCCAAATACAAGTGTTTTTAAATCTCGTTTGGATTTGTTTTGGGGTGATGCTA